CCTCTATTATGACCCCTTTTCTTGTCATAAAATATTAAGGCCCACCCAAGGGGGTTATCAGAAGGTTTATATAGTTGTTACTTTCGCTTTCTAGATGTTCCAAAACAAATATCTAATGAAGAGATCTTACGTGATTACTTGCCGTTTGCCAAAGCAACCATACACGAAACGTGTACCTTAGTTGCTGCAACACGAGTTAGGTCCGATCAGATTTTGATACCAACAAACCGAAGTTATTCCTTTTCTAAGCAGTATGGAGACAACGCAGAATTGAAGATCACATTTCCGGCTGACATAACAAAGAAGATACTGATTTTAAAAGTTCAGGTAATATATTCCTTTTTATAAATTAATGTCTGGAGAATTCAGTGTTACTTGTTGGGTTTCGGTTTAGGTATAGCGGTGGGGAATATAATGGGTCCAACTACTTCAAAAATAAAACGTGCTTAAGTTGCGAAGTTAGTATAACTGCAGTCGAACTCCACTAATACTAACAGGTGTCCGTAAAGCCCGCCGCACACGAGCGCACTTGTCGCGCGTACTTGTTATTCGTGACAAGTTGGATCGACAAAATTTCCTCGTGTGCGGGCAACATTTACGGCATTTTCGTCATTCGTGACATGTAAACCAAATATCAAACATGTTTCATATTTTTCGTCATTCGTGACAAAAAAATTCTCGTGTGCGGGGAGCAAACGACAAGCGCGCCTGAATAGGAAAATTTGCGCATGCGTGCAACTTGCAGAATTAAAAATAACATGGCGGATCAAAATCACGAGCTCTTGTCTTGTTTTTAATTCTCTGCAAGTTGCACGCATGCGCAAATTTTCCTATTCAGGCGCACTTGTCGTTTGCTCGCCGCACACGAGAACTTTTTGTCACGAATGACGAAAAATATCAAACATGTTTGATATTGGGTTTACATGTCACGAATGACGAAAATGCCGTAAATGTTGCCCGCACACGAGGAAATTTTGTCGATCCAACTTGTCACGAATAACAAGTACGCGCGACAAGTGCGCTCGTGTGCGGCGGGCTTTAGGAGAAGTCGACTATAGACCTGAAAGTTGAGAAAGTTTTAAGTTAATAACTTTCTTAACAATCTTCGACTGAACAACTTTTTTTCAATCATAAAAAAGCTTAACAATCGATTGTTAATTGATCATATAAAAAAGATCGATGGTAAGGACAACAGAATATAAGTGCCTTACTAGTTACTAAGTCCGACCAAAACTATACAAGATAAAGATTACGTTGTACATACAAAAGTAAATTGAACAATTAACTTATTTGCTTGCTCGAGGGGTAAATCCAAATTAAGATAATCGATTACCGAAAATTATCTACTAATTAACAATCTTAACAATCTTAATCAATCTTAATAATCTTAACTTACTTAATTAACAATCTTCGACTGAGTGTAAGGGGAACTGAAGATAGAGAGTTTGCCATCAAATGGGAGGTTATGATGGTGCGTGCTTGTAACATGGACGGGTTTATAGTATGACACATATGCACAGAAGAAGAATATTGATATTGCAAACAATCTCCTTACTTCTGTGTAAATTTTACACTTTTAGTTGTTTCCCGCTGATGCTGTCGTAAAGAAAGATATACGTTTGGATAAAAATATTATTTGTGCGCCTGTCATAAGAGTTTCTGGTCAGAAAACGCCATTCCTCAAAGCAGTTGATGTCGAGCTCACATACTCTCACAACGACGTAGCGAATATCAAAGATAAATTTTTATCCGTTAGAAAAACGATTCAATTCACAACTGATTATGGGCTGTTGTTGCGTAGCCAAGAGGAGAACGAGTCAGTCTCAAAGTGGCTAAATTTAAATGAAAGTAACAAAGTGTATATTGAACGACCAAGAAAAGATCAGCTTAAGTTTTCGTTTTCGGTGGAACATTTTTCCGAGTAAGTATTCATTTGCTATGATTCAATCAGAAAGGAAATAATAATAATATTTAATCATTTATATAGCGCCATTTCTTCCAGTAAACCAATGGCACTTTACATTATTTATGTTTAAAAACTTATCTATACTAAATTACGATTTAAAACCTATAGTCTATACGCATGTCTAAGTAAAAATGTCTTTAGTTTTTTTTTAAAGTAGTTATACAAGTTATATTCTTAATCTCCTCTGGCAGTCCATTCCATAGGATCGGTGCAGCGACAGAGAAAGCTCTTCTTCCATTTCTCCTAAGATTAAAGTTTGGTACTGTTAAAAGTCCTCTATTAGTTGATCTTAAAAGTCTGTTGGGTTGATACGGAGTTAAAATATCACATGCATAGGTACCTTGGGGCTGTTCCATTTAGTGCCTTGATTGCTTGAACGTAAGTACTAAGATCTTGAAGTCGATTCTCTCGTTAACTGGAAGCCAATGGAGTTCCTTTAGTATAGGTGTTATATATGCTCATGTTTTCCAGTACACGAAAGAAGACGAGCCGCAGCATTTTGTACATATTGTAATTTCTTTATTTGCTACCATGGCCATGCACAGCAAACGGAACTAAACGAAATTCCGTCACACCTGCGCTACATATACTATAGGAAGCGAACCTACATCACACCTACGCTATATATACTATAGAATAAAATAATACTATAGGAAATAAGGAATGTAAATTTTCCACATTTGCGCTTGTGACTGTTTTTAGAATATATTGCATTGATTTGCAATATATTGACCGGGGTGCTATTTTGTTCAATCAATTTTGCTGCAATGCTATAATATTTTATGTGCAAATGAGAAATGCAGTAAGTTGTCGTAACCTTTCAGGCCATATATCTTAAATAGAGGCTTGATAAAGTTTTCTTTCGAAAAGGACGCTTTATATTAGGCGGGTGGTTTAGTCAACGATTTACGTATGGAAATATATAACAAGCATTTAATGCGGTTAATATGATAGGACCATTTATCAAGGCCAATGTTTGTATTATAATTGGTGCCGAGAAAATAAATAAACATCAAGAGAAAAGAAGGGACTACGGTTTCTAAGATTCACTGGAAAATGAAGCTGCGATGGTTTTTTGTCTACTTTTTAGTATTCATCCGGTGGTGGATATGAGTGAGCCAAGCACTGTGTCACCGCGAGACGGCGGTAGAGTTGTGCGAGACGGTGGTGTGGTGGATATGAAGAATCAAGCTTGTTATGATGCATACGTATGGGCTGTGCATAAAACTGGTATTATCCCGAAAACACTTCATTCTTTGTTGGCGCCTAAGCAAGCGAGACGTGATCTTTACGATCAATTGAAAGTAAACGGAGTGCGTTTCATGCATCGCCTCAATTGTGGAGAGCCAGTATTCTTCTGTGTTCCTATGTCAGATAGCGATCATCTGCCCCTTAAGGATAACACTTTATGGTAAATTTTAATTTTTTTATATAACTGTTTTTGTGAAAAACGCCACTTTTATAAATTCCACGAAGCTTTCGATCATTAAGCCCGGAACCTTAATCCA